AACGGTTTACTGTATTGTACAGCCGTTACTGGTGACACACCACGTGTTGTCATTCCAAATGATACTGATCTGCGTTTGCGGATCATGTTCTAGTATCACGATGCTCCTATAGGAGGACATCGTGGCCGAGAGAAAACATATCTCACGGTAAGTAGAGACTTTTACTGGCCCCGCCAGTATCAGTTTGTGCGAAAGTATGTTCGCGCATGCGAAGTCTGTCAACGAGTGAAGTCAAGTCCTTCACTGCGTGCACCTTTACAGCCTCTACCGGTTCCGGCTGAGTGCTGGGAATCCATTTCAATGGATTTCGTCTTCAGGTTACCCAAAGACGCACGCGGGAATACGGGTATTCTCGTATTTGTTGACAGATTCAGCAAAATGGTACACCTTGTGGCTGAACCAGAGACAATCACGGCAAGTGGCTGTGCTTGTGTCTTTATTGACACCATCTTCCGACTTCATGGGTTGCCCCGTGAACTCGTATCAGACAGAGATCCACGATTCACTGCTGATTTATGGCGTTCCGTGTTCAAATCACTCGGAACGCGCTTGAAGATGTCGACATCTGATCATCCAGAGTCAGATGGTCAGACGGAACGTGCCAATCGTGTCCTTGAAGAGATACTTCGAGGATACGTACACTCCTTTAAGAGTTGGAGTGAGTTTTTGCCTATGGTAGAGTTTGCCATCAACAACTCGGTGCATGCGTCCACGACACATACACCGTTTTACGTGAATGGCTTGCGCCATCCGCGTGTACCCACCTTACTGGAGTGTAACTATGGTTTAAGGGGGGGAGGGACTCGCGCGAGCAAAAACCGATTTGGTTCACGCTCATCACGCTCTGACGAAGAAGTCATTGCGTTTGATGCCGATATCGATAACATCGATATCGAAGAAGATGATGCCAGTGAGAGTGCGGAAGCCCTCACTGAAGACAATGATCCCAGTGAGAGTGCGGAAGCCCTCACTGAAGAAAAGGTTGATGTTGCTGCAGTGCGCTCACAGCACACTGAAGCTAACGAGTCATCAGATGAGTTCATACTGGCTCGTGAAACGGTAGTCCGTTTTGTGCAAGACTCCATCGCCGAAGCGGTGGATAAGCAAAAGCAAAACGCTGATAAGAATGGAAGGGCAAACACTCTTATATTTAATAAAGGTGACTTAGTCCTACTGTCTACGGTTAATCTACCAAAGCATGTAGTGACTAACTTGGGTAGCAGTAAACTACTACCCAAGTACATTGGCCCATTTCGTGTATTGCACCGCCTAGGCAATGCATACACGATCGAGTTACCACGTAAGATGCGAACGCATCCCACGTTTTACGTTGGTCGGCTTAAGCCGTACCATCAGTACGCTGCTTCTTCCGATGAAGAACGCCCTTGCGCTCAAGCATCTCGCAAAGAGCCTTGTGCTCCCGATGGTGGGCATCAACAAGGGTCTGAAGAGCAGTTATCTCATCCCGAGACCGATCAACAATCCCACGAGCTACCCTTAGCTCGTCACGAAGAGATGTCAGAGATCTCTCGTTCTCGAGCTGAGCAAAGGCAAACTCAGCTCGATGCTTCGAGGCAGTGTCCGCCATTTAGAGACGCCTATTCCGCTCATGCTCGAGATCGTCGCGTAACCCTTGCGTTACGCGATCAAAGAAGCTCTCAGGAACACACCGATCCACATGATCGTGTGGAGAGCGTCTTTCCTCCTCCTCCATTTCCATTAGAGGACTCTCGCGGTGGCCAGCGCTATCTAGTTGAGCAGCTGTTGAACCACCGCGACGTGAACGGACGTCGGACGAGTTATCTCGTCCGGTGGCGCGGCTATCCCCCGTCCTGGGATTCTTGGGAGCCCCGCTCCCAACTGATGATCGACGCACTGGGTCTGGTTGAGCAGTACGACGCGGCACATCCTGTGCCGCAGAAGGACCGCCGGAGAAAGTCTTCCCGGCACGGTCGTAAAGGGATTTCAGGTTGTCAATCCCTTCGTACATCTCACTAGAGACACGTACGCGCCACCACGGGCTATTAGGGAGGTAAGCCTTCTTAGGTGCTCGTGCAGAGTTGTTCACACAACATGGGCACGAGTCTCCCCAAGAGAGGCAGGGTAATCCTTTCTCCCTTGACAGACGATGCAGCTTGTAGCGTGCACCTGTCGGGGTTCGCTTTTCAAACTTATCACGAGCTTTGATCAGTTTGTCGTTCCAAGCGTCACGACCTACATCCTCGAGGTTATGGATGTAGGCGTTCCACGCTTGAAGCAGCGAGGGACCATCACGTTTGTGATTCCCACTGTACCATCGATGTTTGAAGAAAGCATCGATGAAGAATTCGTGTTCAGCGCGATAGTTTTTCGCGCTGGGGTCAAGGTGATGGATCCTTGACGAATCGAACAATCGTGTTCGATAACGATCACTCGTCGTCGCCGACAAGTGATCCATGACGAATTTCGGAGGCATCCATGCCTTCTTTTCTGAAGCGAGACGCAACACATTGCGGTCCCGCTCTTCCTGCGACGTGCCGACAGAAGTACTGGCACCTCGCTGTGAAGTGGTGTCCATTGGAGAACCGACACCACTATTAGCGCCCGAGTCTCGCGACCTCGAGCGCCTTCGCTTCGGCATTGGCTCATCTGATTCATCAGATGAACCAAAGATGCTGCGACGCAAAGCATCGTCCATGCCACGCTTGGCTGGCGGCTTCGATTCAATCGCCGTCGATACAGATCCGTCTTCCGTTTCAGGAGAGTACGAGACACCGAGCTCGTACTCTGTGAAGACACGAGTGTCTTCATGACCAGCGCCTGCGTCACCAAGTGACACAGGCTGAGTCGCTTCAGCAACCGATGGGACATCAGTTGCTGGCCTCCCTTGCTCGCGCATCGCATGGGCTTGTTAACCATGCGATGAGATGTTGGAAAGTGGACGCACCAACAAGTGCAAACCCTGTCCCAAATGATTTGGGACGAGTATCCATTTAGTCAATCAGTCACTAAAGTGACTGATGGTTAAGGGGGGTGATGTAACGGGGTGAATCGTTACATAACAATTTATAAGAAATTGTTAATAGAATATAACTATAAGAGTTATATTCTCAGAATATTGTCATAAGGACGAATATTCTGTAGCACTTACGAGTAGTTCCTAATTGGTTGATATAGGCCATTATATCAACCAACGAAGACGCGCCACGACAGACGCACGCAATGAGTGGTGAGCAGATAACTGATTTACACATTTGTATTTAGACATAGTTAGATGAAGATAAATAGTGATTTATTGCAGACATTAACTATTATAAATACAGTTCTACTTTTTACTTTAACCAAGTACTCGCTTCTTCTTACCGTCTTCCTCTGCACGTACGAGTGTACGTGAAGTTACGAGGCACCGCCTTATTCTGTCATCAGAATAAGTAGCTTGTACTGTCACCAGTACAAGCTTCAGGGTGCCCCGTTACAAGAGTCGTAGATTTTCTCAAACACATCAAGACCAAGTATCCGTTGAATCTCGGCGCGAGCTGCTTGTTCTTAACTTCGCGCAATCGGGTACGTTTTTTCCTGTACCGGCGTATAATATTCCGCAATAGGAAGTACATAGTCACGTAGTTTCATATTACCGAGGTGACCTTTATACAGATCCTGATACTCCGTGGGTAGCTCAATGAACTGCTTTCGCACGTATGGATGGAATTATGCGTCACCCAAGAGATCAGTTGGCTCCACTGAAGTCTGATTGATCTCCTTGAGATCATCGTTACTAGGTTCGACGACTTCGAGAGGAGATCGCATTAAAAACAAGGTTCAGTTTGCAGTTGTTGCCGGCCCATTCAATTTGTGCATGGCGAAAGTTGACTATCATGCCAAAAGCACTAAGCAAGTCTCGACCGATAACCATCTCGTCTTTTGCATTGGGTAACACTGCAAAGCTGTGAGTGATAAGTGAACTCGCGCTTAGTGTCGGAAAGCAACGTTTGAGCTGCGTCGATTCAATACTCTTCACACTTCCGTCCACTTGCTCGAAAGTTACTGTCGATGGTTATAGCTTGTAACCGAGCATCTTGTTTACTTACAGCAGGCTACCGTTATAAAGCTCGTTGAACAGCCTGAATCGACCAACACAAGGTGTTCCTCCTTGTCTTTGGATAACGAATTTGCAGGCGCATTGGCGGCGGCTGTTCCAATTGCGTGACAGCATGTGCGTCACCACCTTGTACTCTTCATCATTGCACACTTCGTCACTGTACGGGTAATCAGAAGCAGTTTCTTCAACCTGTGTAGCCTCCGCACGTTTTGCTTAGCGTCCGTTAAATCTCGCTGCTGGTGCTTTCTTTTGCTGGGTGAAGCACTCGGCATCGCTGTGAGAAGTCATCCTATAAAAAGTTACACCACTTGTTGTCCCTCTCGGTCTTGTTTTCTCTTTTGACATCACCATTGGATGTACCACCATTAGCTCATCCACCTCGTCTACCTTGCCCATTCGTGGGCCTGGCCCTATTGTTGCCTTGACGAGGGACCTTGGTAGAGGTTGCGTTACCGTTGCGAGGGCGTCTTTCGTTCATCTGACGAAATTCATACGCTTCTAGTTATAGAAAGTACTGAACAGCTTGCGTCATAGAGATCAGGTCTATCCCACTCATCTCGTAGGTGCGTTTCCACTCGCTTGGCATGGCTCGCTTGAAGTACCGTAACTGTGTGGTTTCATACATGTAAAATGCACCCTCTAGTAAGTTTTTTCGCGTCCGTACCGCTTTCATCATTCGAAGATGAAGGAATGCGTCAGACTCTGTGCGTCTCTAGACCATCATGAAGATGTCTTCCTCCGAACGCTAACAGTAGTTACTTGGTAAGAAATCCAGACCCAGCATCTGCATAGCGAGGTCATACTAGGAATCATCTTCGACGTCCGTGACGCTTAAAAATGCTTCTGTGTAGGAGTCCAACGCCCCGTCCTCAAGGACGAGGCCTAAGTACATATCTCTGTCTCTTGCATCCCATCGTTGTAGTTATACAATGCGCTCAAATTGAGGCAGCCACTGCAGCCAGCCTGTTGCTGTACCACCACGGAAGCGAGGCAGGCTGATGCGGATAAACTCGCGCGGTGTCGCGGGCGTCGTTCCTTGGGCAGCCGTTGCCGCCTTGAATGTGACCACGAACGTGATCTGGCCCCCGTTGGACTGGCATGATAGCCCGGAGCCCTCTTCCATGTCCATTGTATCGCGTCAAGGACAGGTGGGTAAACCAACGCTACAATTTAAAAAATTTTAAAGTGACACGCTCGTGGCTTGCAGAGGAGCGTTCACGTTGGTTGACTTCGTATTACAATGAGAAGCGAATATATTCTGTTAGGACTGCTTTGTTAATGCATCTCGAGTCATCATGTTCTTCAAAACTACTCACCTTGGAGGTCCAAAGGTGTCACCAGATTGATCGCCAATGTCCTGGCGACACTTTGCGAACGAGCAGACAGTAGTACTCAAATGCTTCGACAATCTTGTCATCTTGCATTTCACGCATGCCGAGCTGAATAGCCGCTTGCTAGACATTTGCATGTGATTCTACCGACAAACTAAGCATTGGAACGGTTTCTGCAGCAGCGTGCTACACTGGAATCACGGCTACGTAAAATGGGAAGAACACTAGAGAACTACTGTTTCGAGAGAGAGGACGTGGCGATTTTGCAAAAAAGGCCAATGCATCTACGAAGACTAACATAAGGCGGATGATGCATAATTTGTATTTAAATACATGCTTTTCTAGTGACTACTAGGATGCTGATTTGCTGTGCACTTATTACACACGCATCGCCGTGTGTCGCCTCCTCGAAAATTTACCTGCTAAACCAGTGAACACTGCAGTCAGATTCGACCTTGAGACGCCGCTTCTTGACGTTCCCGACCACCCATAGGCTTCCCGTGGCCTCCAATCTGCTTCTGCCTCATGCAACGACATCTCACCGACAATTCACACCCACGTTAGTCGCCTCCTCGACCGCTCGCAACTTTATCTTAAGTAGGCTGTAGCTCACATAACACTCGTTCCGTCGTGGCGACGTGCAACACGCGAACAGCTGCGCACAACTCGCGGCGCGTTGAATTTTCGACCGCGGCGCTTGTAGCATGAGTACGAAAAAAATAGCGTCTAGTTACGTATCCAATAACATCAACGAGGTACACAACGATGAAAAGTTGTTGAGCAGCCGGAAGCCGAACACATTCGTTCTGCTCGCCGTCTTAAGGCTCTTTGACGCTCAGAGGCAGGACAGTGTACGAAAATCATAGACGCTGCTCTTTGCAACCTGTCAGAGCCTCAGCGCAAAAAGGTACAACTTTATCCGGCGCGTCATCGACGTGCTATTGGCGTACCTTATTCTACATTTTCTGCTTTAAAAAGAGGCAAAACCGAAGGGATCAGCTGTAAAGCTTTGGAAACTTGCGCACAGGAGTCTGGTAGCACTCTTAACAATTTGCTTGCGTGGTCCACGCATCTCTCCACGGCTACATGTACAGAGTTACACATAGAAGAAAAGAAGAAGAAATAGAGCGAGAAAAAGACCGTCTATGTTACCCTCAAGGCTTACAAAATGTCTGAAAGACCCTCAACCTTTCGGGTACGCCTGGAAGTAAATCATGTCGCCGAGAGAGGTTGCATAGTACTGTCTTCCGATGTGTAACGGTATCCAAATACAAATCGTTCACTGGTTGAAAGAAGGAGATATCTGTTTAATCCCTGCCATGCCGTAGTCCTACAGCGCAACCGTGCGCAATTGTTGAGCCAGGATGTGTCGCACTTCAGCAACAACTTGTTCTGGCGTCGTCATGTCCTGGTTGTGTACCCTCCGATTCATCTGGATCCATAGCGTTGTGACGCAGACCGAGCAATTAATCCACCAGATCCTTTTTTAGGTTTGCATGACGGTGTCAGCGTTGTCGGGAAACCTGCGCTCCATGTCCGCCCATGCTCGCCGTTGTAGTTTAAAAACTGTTCTGGACAAGGCCGCTTGCTTGTACGATTGAAGTTGGTTTTCGTTCGCTAGCGATCGTGACCACTGGTCTACAATATATTTCCAGATCAGTTTCGCTCCCGTGCAGTCCCAGATGATATGCATCAGGTCCTCATGTTTCTCGTGGCAGGAAAGGTGTCGCTTGCACGTAGCGTCGAACTCTCGTCTTGGATATTCTAGATTTAACTGATGGGTTGCAATCCTGTAGCAGACCCAAACTTGGTGCTCGGTGAGGGCGTGACGATGCTCCCATAGCAGCGCCGGCGACTAAGACAGCGGGACGTACCCGCCTTCGTGTGAGGTTGCTCTGTGTCGGTGTCTGGCGATCGAATCTGAGAGAGCCGGGGCCAAATGGCGCTTCGCACTTGAAAACGGCTGGCGCTTTAATACTTCATTTGCAAGAATGTTGTTGACTGTCGGAGGAAGGCAACACGAAAACCCTTGGAGTATCGGATGCGCTGCCAGTACGAGTGCTCTGTTGCAGGTTTGCTATTAAATGGCGTCTAATTCCTGGATGGCTTAAGCTGGTCACTCGTCCATTCGTTCGATGATCCAGTAAATGCCATTATTCGCCTTCTGGAGGATGACGGAGGCATGGTTTTGACCTCTGGGGTCGCGAAAGATGCCGCTGACAACCCATCGGCGTGTAGATGTCCATGTGAATCGATTCAGGTCCTTAGGACCGTCACGTAATGTGAGCTGCGGTGGCACACAGACAATTTCCCCTACCCGAAGTGCTGGGCACGGCATTAGTTTAGCCGTCGCCCAGAGCCCTAATTTGGGGAGCGTGTGGCAGATAGATTGCCCCGTACATGAATGGCGGATTTTGTAGTCTAGCGTCGACACCATCGTGATGTGTAACTCATCCAACCTACATGCCCCTAGCAGCGAGTACTTCGTCGTCGTTAGCTATCTCCCCTTTCCATCGATTACCCAGGGATTCTGATCCCATCAATGAGTAGCCCTAAAAGTCTTGAGCTTTTGAGTGTACATTTCAGTGAGCGTCGGTATTTTTTCGTAATACAAATCCTGCCCCTCCCAAGAGGCGACAAGCTTGTCGACGAGGCGCTGGAATGATCCTTGTCGGTGCTGTTAAATTGTCATCCATTCTTCCTTCTCAGGGGCTATCCACACACTGACTCTTGCTTGGATGTCTGGTTGGGGCCATTAATTAGACGGTGTCCCTGAGGGTTAAGTAAAACCGGAGATAGTCTCCAGTTCGCTTAGGCCTTGTTATCTTGAAACGTTTAGACAGCCCACGCGTTATGGTAGCGATCCCGTTCGTAAATAAACCGTTGCATGGCGTAATTTAGAAATAACGTACTGGTTGCGACGTCACTGGAAATAAGGCCAATTCTGCCTGCGCCATGTGGAGTATACAGCAGTCCTGGATTGACCTTATGCCTGCTGCCCGCAGTTGAAGTGTAACGTTGTCAGATAAATTGCTGTTTAAGTTTGTGCAATTCCTTCTTGGCCCACCGAGGGATTCTGTAGACCGCCGCTGTAAAGAGCACGGCCGGAAGCATGATCGCGTTGAGCAGCAATATTCGGACTGAGACGCTCATCGAAATACTGGCCGCTGTCGCTAGCCGCTTACGAGCATTCCGGATGCGTAAAGCCCGATTCGCATCGATGAGGTATCCGGTCCCCACCTGATACCCGAGATATCGTGTCGCATCTCCGTGTTGGAGTGCCGGTATCCCTTCATACGCTGTGACCTCTACCGCTGTATTAATAAATATGAGAAATCTTTTTGCTGGTTGAGCAAATAGCCCCAAGAGCTCTCCAAATCGCTGCATTTTGGTCAGCCCCTGTGGTCGCTGATTCGCCCGCTCGAGAAAAAACGTCGAATCATCACCAAAAGCCGAAAATTAATGCCCCCCTTCCTGAAAGCTGGGATGTCGTAGCTCTAGATTTTCTGGATGTTGAAGTATGGCAATGGCCAGTATCTATGCTACGAGTAGAAACAGCAGCGGAGACAACGGGCAACCCTGTCGGATCCCCGTAATTACAAGGATTGAGTCTGAGAGCAGTCCGTGGACTAAGAATCGCGCTGTGGCGCCTTCACGTAGTCGGCAAATCAGCTGTATAAAGGCTTCCGCGAAGCCAAAGAACCGTAATACCTTAAAAAAGAATTCCCGCGCGACCGTGTCATGTGCCTTAAGGAAATTCAGAAGCAAGATGACTCGGCTATAATTAATCTCGCACTGTGGTTCGGACAGCGCCGAGCTCAAATGCGCCATCATCGTAACCGTTTTAGACATTTGTCGATCGTGAACAAATAACTGTTGCGTATCCTGAATGGGCACCCCAATCACCTGTTGGACTTTGTAGTATAACGCCTTCGCGAAATTTTAATAACCAGTTTGTAGCAAGGCGATCGGTCTGTAATCCATCGCGTCTTTCGAATCTCCCTTCTTGCGAAGTGGTATTATCAACCCTTCCAGATTCGAGGCGGGCGGAGTACGGTCGTGCAGTAATTTGTTGCCTGTATTGACAAGCACAGGAGCAAGTAGAGCTTGAAATGTTTTAAGGACGTCATTATTGATTCTGTCAGAACCTGCAGCTTTATGGCGATCATGTGACGCAATTGCCGCAAGAACTTCGTCCAGCGTTACGTGGTCCATCAAGAGCGCATTAGCATCCGCGGAGAGAACGCGATCGACCGGCAGCATAACAAAATCGCGCATGCCTGATTGAGCGCTGGCTTCAGAACGGTGTTGTGAGTCCTACAGAGGATCGGGCTCCGTTTGGACGCGAAATGATTGGCTACCGTGTCTCCCGGTAGGAAGCGCCGGCCGTTGATCTGGTCAAGAACCAATATAGATTGATCCCGTTCCCAGTTGGATACCCATTTAAACTGCCATCTGAGACTGTCCATAGTACGCTCCAAACGTAATCCCTGTCTGATGGTTTGTGCTGTCTGGAGCTCTTCCTGCATACTCTGCATCAAACTGTGGCGAGTGGAGAGATGAGCCCGCGCATGTCCCAGGACCCGGCGCCGCAGTTGACGCGTTCATTGATATTCTCGTTTCTTAATTCGCCTATTGCTGGCTTTGCAATTGTGGATAGCTGAGTCCCAAGCGCCGGAGGTTACGTCGCGTCCTACCTCGTTTCGGATGAGCTCATGTTATAGATCCGCGTGGAAATGCTCTGATGTCTCAGAGCGATTAAGAATACCGTACGAGCTTGACCGTACTTTGCTGATGCCGCCTCCACCCGTTGTCTTCCACGTGCAAGGTGACTTGTTGATCATCCGAGGGAAAGACAGGAAGGCGTACCTGTACCTGCTGAACAGTCGCGGTCCAAGCCTTGCGTGTATAGAAACGGTCGGTCTTGCTAGCTGACCGCGCATTTTGACCTCGTCGTCCATCGCCGCCCCCGCCAGAGTTGAGGCGTCTTCCAGATATAAAGTGTTCAGTAACGTAATTAAAGCTGGGCTTTCCGGTCGCCCAGACCGCAAGCCACCCAGCCGATCGAAATGAGGACTTGAGACACAATTTAAGTCTCCAAAGAAAAGCACATCTGTGTCCAGCCATGGCCACCCCTGAAGGGGGGTAAAGAAGAGCTCTCGCTCCCGTCTGTCGTTGGGGGCATATATGTTGATCACTGAGACTTCATCGACTACGACAGCTTTGACCCGTTTAGACCAAATTTTAGGATGTCATTTCATGAATTTGTGCTGTTTTGTCGGGTCAAGCAATATTGCAACCCCTACAGATTTCTCCGTGCTTACACTCCAGAACGATGTCTTGGACTGAGGGCGATTGTGGTGAGCATTGTGGACGCCCCAAGCGGATCGCCACGTATCAGAAGCCTGCTGATATGCCCTCGCAGAGGATATGTGCGTCTCCTGCAGACCCCACAATATAATTTTGTGGCGTTTACTTGCCGTTTCCACCCCCTTATCCAACTGATCTGATTCTTTTTCGTAAGGCCCCTCACATTTTGTGAGTGGTATACGTTGGTGTCAGTCCCGCGTCCGTGTTGAATATAGGGAGTATCCAGTGTCGGAAAAAGTGCTTCATTGTCAAGTGTTCGGTAGAGAGATCGCGCTTCCTGATTGATGGCGAAAGCTCGACTCCCGTCGCTTACTGTGGAGCCCTCAGTAATGATGATTCCGTTGAACGGACTCGTGAGCTAACGACTGATCGAAGAATGCACGGAGCGCACTACATGTACTGTCATGGCTTGCTGCTCAGAAGGCTTGTAAATAACTATAGCTGGAAACTAAAGCAGCTAGATTCCGTCGAACGCGGTCCGTAATTTCACAGTCATCCTTCTCTCTTTTGCTTGTTAGTGCCTTAATTCCGTCACTGTGTAAAATTGCACGAATGGAGTGTCGTGCAACGTGGCGTTTGGTACGGGTAGTGCAGAGCCGCAATAGCTCGTCCCTGCCATAGTCACATGCGCGCAATCAAAAATAACCATCTACATTTTCGACAAGTGGAAATAAGATTTGCCAAGCTATTGCACGCGTCGTACGAGTTTTTCACGCTTCAAGCCACGCTTTCGTTGCTCTGTCTGTCACCTGTTGGTAATAGGTACCGAGACCCTGAAAAATTTAGTCGCACCGCCAGGCGGCTGTCCAAGCCACGAGCACCAGGTCATCGAGGGCATCCAAGAGGAGACAATGGTATGGAAATTCTTTAAGCAGCAGCATCAGCTTCATAGGCGCAGCGGTCAACGCTCGTTTTATTCCTCCATAAGACTCTGGAGCGTAGAAAATTCGTCCTAAGTATGCGTCGACTAAGTCTTTCCCAACGATAGCCACATGGTCTGCTAGGTCTCAATGATAAGCAACGGCACCTCCGGTTGTGCGATGGCAGTCTGCGCAGTCGCCGCTCTTTTCGGGTACGGGACCACTAATTCGTCGTGCTGGGGTTTTTGGTCCCTGCGTGCAACTATCCTGTAGTCCACTGCCAACGTAGTTTGTTCGGTCGATACCGCTGGGAATGCTGATCGGTGGGCGTGCATGGTGCTCAATTACTATGCGCGGGCTTCGTGGAGCATCTGGTACGTTACCGCGACGACTGTAACGTTACGGTTGTCGTCACCCATATCCTGAACGGCTGTGTTTTGCTTAATGTGATCGTTTTGGAGCAGGTGACCGCGACTTCGCGCACGAGAGATTGCCACTGAAGCAGGACACATCTGGCAATGCGGCGTTGTTGTTTAAGCTGGACGACCTCGATATCAGTGATATCCGTCATGTCGACGCTTGCTAGTCGCTGTTGGTCCACGATCTCCACTTCAGGTACCGTCGCGGTAAGAAAGTTGAGGGGGGGGCAGAAAAGCGCTTAGGTCGGCGGGAGCAAAGATCTGGTCGATGGTGACTTTCAGATTGTGGGGGATCAAAAGCTGCCTAAATTGGACGCGCAGCTCATACATGTGAGTGTTGGGAGACACCGCAGCTTTGTGGTCGTAATGGTCTCTGTGGTGACGCACCGCCAATTTTTTCAAGATGTCCAACTTTGGCTTTTCCGGTATATCCTCCATATCCTCGGACATGCTCATGTCTGACTCGGTGGACTGGTGCTTGAGTAAGACCAGCTGGATCTAAGAAATCTCCCCCAAGTAAAAGTGGTGGTGTGATTCGAAAGTGAACAAACGCCAAATAATGGCTACTGCGGTAGCGTAAGACGAGCGGGATGGGACCTTCGGCCCGTTGCTTGCCCAACGCAATCTGTTGATAGAATATAGCCGCAGTGAGCACGAGCTCTTCCCCCCGCTCGATGTTTTTGCCCCGCCGAGTGGAAGAGCCCTTTAGAGACTGCTTCTCCAATTGTTGCCATTAGTATCTTCTTGAGCTAGTACGTAAATTTCCCGGCGTAGAGAATTCGCCGCAAGCCCAAGGACCTCACAGCCCCCAAGTTGCAGACATACACTAGGTCCGATCGTCCCAACGCACTTTTGGCATATTCTCCAAATTACACCGAAATTGTTTCTTCGCGAGCACCTTATATGCCTTACCAGCCCCGGCGAACGCCGACGAGGGTCGCGACTCGCGTGTCATGGGAAAATTGCTCATTCAGATGCAGTTGGCCCGCATACTTTATTCCCCGTTTGAAGCCGGCTGTTGCCGCTGCCATGAGCTCTTCCTGCCCTCTAGGGCCGAATCACATAGTGATTGCACGATGGCCATTGCCATACAATTCCCTGTAGCCGGCGTATCGACCGGTCAAAGCCTTAGTAGATGCGTTATCTCGTCTACAGAGCGAAAACTATGTTCGTTCTGCAGGGGCGACTCTACCAAAAAGCGCGTTTGTGAAACGCTCGGTTGGATGCAGCTAAAGAGGTCGCTGCGCTCTCGCTGTTTAAGGCCGAGTAATTGTGGCTCTGATGGAAGAACCAGCTGGTTTTTCTTCAGAATACGTAACAGAGCGTGCTTCGACGTATTCGGAATGTAGATTGTTGACGGCTCCGCTGGTACCGACACTATCATGGGCTCAACCCCCTGGTTCTCTATCTCCGGAGCCAACGCCTCTTCCTCAGCGACCTTGTCGTCCTCACGACTAGCCAGCACATCATACCGTTTCGATCCGCGTGACAGGGTAAGTGGTCTCTGACGTCGCTGAGTCGGCTCGCTACGCCTTCCCCGAATGGAATCCATAGTCCACACCGCCCTTGATTTTAGGCTTAGGTGTTTTATGAACAGCGACAGGGGTCGCTGCTACAGTGGGATGCGCAGCTAAAGCGGCAAGAGAGGCATTCATAGTTGTTTTTAGCCTCTAAATCCGATGCGACTCTGTATTCCGCAGTAGGGTGCAGTTGTAAGGTCCTGGATAGAGCCGCAGCCGTCTCCTGATAAATATGACGTCATAGGGATGCGGCTTCTTTTTCTGCCAGCGTAGCAAAAGGCTTGGCCACGTGTCCAGTGTCACAATTTTTTCTCCGTTGCCACCAAACAGCCGTCACCACGCAATTGTTTGGCATTATAACCACAGCGTGCGATGGTGTCGCCAAGCGTGCCGCACTGTAAGCACTGAAGTTGCCGACCTACCGCCGGATGCTTTATGACGATCATAATGCCAAACCAGTTGAGCCTCACGATTTCCCGAAGGAACTCCGTACATCCGGACAGTCAAAAGGTAAACTTCCAGACGTTCGAGGTTCGGGAATCCGATTTGCACGTATTCGTTTTCTCTAGGGCATGTGCGACGGGACTCTGCTTGCTGATGAACGCAGAAATTTTACCGATTTCCACAAATCGTGATATGTTGCATAGGCGTACTTCATACTCCATGTTGCGATGTCGCGAATTAATATACCATTGTTTACGTCCCACGCCGACCGAGAGGACTCTCCGTGTTTATTGTGCAACCGATAAATCGTGCTCTCGTACGATACCACCGTCAATAGGAACTCCTGCGCCGTTGCACGATCGAAAAAGAAGAGATGAATGGAGTTCGAGACCTCAGCATAACTTATTGTCTTCATCTTACGAATAAGATCGTACAGGCGTTGCAGGTTTACGTGCGATATCTCAGCTGCTGTCAAGATGCCCTCCTTAATCGCCTGCGGTTGGCGCCGGCTGGTCGGCACGGTGCATTTACCACTGAGCCGAAAGCTAAATTCCACTTCAACCTGCGCCTGTGTAGTGCTGTGGAGTCGGAGGAGCTCTGAGTGATTAAAGATACTGGCCAGAAACAGGGGAAGACGTCGACCCACGAAATCCCCTTCCGTCAGTCCCTGGATGATTTAATATTTATCCTCAGTGCCGTCTCGTAACTACCGCTTGTCCACTTGTCCGCGTTTCTCCGCGCAGATTGCTCTCATCCGGACGCGCTTCTGAGGAGGTTATGTCGCTGGGTTGTACATGTAATGCTCATACCTAGCCGCTACCGCCGTGGAGTGTCGGCCTTCTGTGAGAATTTGGTCCGCTGAAATCTTCGCCGTCCATTGATTGAGGACAAAAAGCTTTGCCCAGCGCAATTTACTCTTCAAACTCTCCAAAACAGTACTGAGCATCCATGTAGTGTTGAGGATGTCTTGACTGGTGCTTGTAGCAAATCGATCCCATTGATGAAACGAGAAGTCAACTTTAACGCATGCCTCTTCAAAACAAGTTGTGAGCAGCGCACGTTCCCCTGACTGCAATTTCAGGTTTCAAACCTTTGTGGCGCAAGCCGCTCCCGATTGGCCGGTAGCGCGTTGGAGACAACCGCAAATAGTTGCACCACAGTAACCTGCCACGCCTCCCGGAGTTCTGTACTCTTGGCATCCCTGATCTCGTGAAGGAGGCAATTGTATATTTTTAGGAGGTTAACGATGGGAGTGGCTGGGGTGGTATCGTAGAGTATTTGTCCTTAAATATCCCTATGTCCAGTCTGACCCTGGGCGTCAACTCCTTTCTCAACACTCGCAAGAGGGTATACTGCGGCTGCCTGCGCCACCGGCGCTGCCTCGTGTCCGTCCCCACATCCGTCCCCACACACGTGAGGCTGTGGGCCCTGGGAATGTCGCCTCTCGTCGTTATGCTACGCAGCGTCGTGTGGTGTGTGAGGATTGTCTGTATTGTATCCCTGGATGTGCCTTGAGTGGCCGTGTCCCCAGGCGGGGAATACCGGTCCGTCATGGCCCGGAAAGGAAGGCAGGCTCGTAAAGTACAAAATTTGCTGTGCTGTCGCCACTCCTGGTCGACTGCCTCTGGTACGGCAAATTAAAGAGCGGAAGAAGAAGAACTAACAAACAATCCAATCACGGAGTCTGGAAGAATGCAAAGATTATTCGCCACTAAATTTTTGTGATTGAACAACAGATTAAGAATGAAAAACGCTAAGACGAGCGCTTGGATGCGCTCGAAACCAAGCTCGACGAATCGCAGATTTTAGTGTAAAAACAAGCTCAAAGAGGATGATGATAATGTCAGCAATTCTGCAAAGCACAGATAGCGGGCTTTGTTTACTCATTTTCACTAAGTGTGGCTCGAGTTGTATGCGCGTACCCCGCGCTAATGGAGCGCCCACGGAGAGAAGAAGAATAAGTCGGACTCGATGCTGCTCGCTATTTTTTTATAACTGTTTCTCAAGTCAGACTTTACAATGGAAGAGCAAATGCCGACATATCGCACGACGTGTTGGAGATCAGCTTGCATTCAGAAGAAACTATCTTGATTTTTTTTGGGGGCGCGGTATTCATTCAGAAGGCGCCAATACTGTCTTGAAGCAGATGCGCGCACTCCATCGATCTAGCAAGCTGAAATGAAAATTTCAGAGCTACCGTAATCTTCTATGGTAAAGCGTAAATGTTGATCCTGCTCCTGTCTACACACAATTTATTATTGAAGAAGTGTAAAGCAAATCAAGTAGACCAACACGCATATCCTCACTTTCATTCATGAATTCGTAGTAAAATACATCGCACGTACTGAAGCAGAAGCTAGATTAGTGGTCTAACTCAGACACTGGAAGAGCTACTACTGCGAGCAGCACACGCGCAGCACGCACTCGTTCACGACCGCAAAATCTCGACGTTGTAGACGGCCGCTGTCCTTAGCTAGTACGCTAGGCATCAATGTATTCTGATTAGGATCTCTTTCGTCTTGCGTTTCTTTTTGCCTTTTCAAGCCATCGCTTGGATGAGCATATTGGCCAAACTCCTCAAGGCGACGTACAACGCTGAGCAAAAAAGAAGGGTGGTTACAATTTCGATACACAACAAGTACGACGTACCTAAAGGTACCTAATGGGGGAATCGTCGGAAAGTCGGTCTTTTATGTTATGGTCAAATAATCATGCTTTGAAATGACGTGCTTTAAACGCGCTACACGACTCGAGTAGTGTGGCATCGATGCCTAGGCTGTCATGGACTAGAATGGGTTTCCCAGGTAACTTAAAATAGGGGGCGAGCATTAATTCGGTAAGCTTTCCCCGAGCGCCAGTGATTACTGTTCACATGCAGCAATGTCAGTACTGCACCTCTGTTGCCGCCGAATGAGGCAAAAATGTTGTTGCATGGCTGTCACGGTCAATACCACTACAGGTCGCCCGTATAAAGTATCTGTCAAATTTTTAATATAAGTCAAACTGCATTTTCTTATGTGACGGGGTGACCTTCGCTTTACGGACACAATCGCTTTCATTACCACTGTAGGCTGTTAGATTCTAGCCTTTATAAGACCAACCGATCGAGCTGCGGACTCAGGACTCGTTTAGAATTGCCCAGCAGTACTGTTTATCTGAATGGCATATTCCAGTCATGTACCTCCTGGAATAATACCTCCGCGCGCCACTCGTATGGTTAGTGCCTAGACGTCTAGGAAATATGTCGTGCACCTGCCCCTCTCCCGCCTTGCAAATTCATTCTGTATTCATTCGTTCTATACGACTGAAGCTTACGCCTCCCAGCGGGAGACAGGAGAATACCGACTGCATCGGCTTTTGACAAGCTGACAATCCAGTAGAAATTAGCGCTTGTTTAAGGTCGAGATGTTTCCACACACACACGCCGCCATTTTAATTGTACTGCTGCAACATCTTTCGCGATAGTCACATGCATTTCTTAGATACACCACGCCAGCGGCATTCGACTCAACAGTGTTCGAAAACAGACTGTCATCCACTACTGACGTGTATCTTTCGGGTATCCGCGGATATTCTGAGTGAGAAGTCTAGGTGAGGGGAGGCGCAGTAGTGACTTATATTCGATCCTTTGCATCAGATTGTGACGCCTATGGCCGTCCGCACGTTGTAGTTCCTATTTGTAGCAGATTGATGTTTTCAAATTTGGAGAGGCGCTCATTGTAAAATTTGTGATGTTGCTCGTCCAGAAGTGTCAGCCTCATTTAAAAAATACTCAAGTGCTTTCTATTCCGCCAGTTGGGTGTATGTGTAGTTAATCTCATTATTTCTGGTGTTAATTTAGATGATCTGAATACGTGCACTATTTTGGAAGGTTTGTGGATTAATAGTTCGTTGAATCCACGGTAAAACAGTCTTTTTATGTAACAAAAACAACAGTCGCCTACTAAGTTGGCGCAGTTGGCTTGCACGTCGGTATATATATCTTCGAGGTGCACCCCTTCGGGTTCATTTGTAACGCTCACCCTCGCTATATACTCACAACCACTCCCACGTTCAGAAGCATGTCGGAGCTCAGCAGCTTCCGTTACTCAAATCCTGTGACTTCCCACCAATGGGTGGATGTTGACGTTTTTACGCGTTTACAGGTCACCGGGCGTAGTGTACACCCGACTAGAAGACTTACGGTGTCCTTAATCTAGGACCTACCGGCATGTCTTTCGACGATATTACAACAGCACTATCAATTAGGTCACTAATTCTCTGATCAACAAGTCTTTAGCAGTACTATATATTGGAGTGAACGGCTTGTCGTCGACAAGAATTTCTTTTAATCGCTGGAAGCGAGTGATGTTTAACCCGGATCAACTTGAAATCTTGGCATTTTTAGTCAAGCCTCCACAAGCTATGCCTCTCGAGTTTCGATAACAGACATAATCCACCCCGCGCGGGGACTCGTAAACGGAGCGCACGCTATACTAGGACGTTAATGCGCTTCTTTATGTTTAATCATTTCTTATGTACAGGGAGAGAGTCTATGGTGTGGCTCCCTTTCATCCTCCTGATTTACCCTATTCAATCACTTAGAGAA